TTCTAACTTGTAGAATACTGCAGAAGTAGTGGTTCAATTTCGTTTGGATACAGCCTTTCAGATGTGGGGACAGAATTAAAGGACATTGACCCATTTGCATGCAAATATACGTTTCTCAAAAAATAAAACCTAATCTCCCTATTTTCTACCATCAATTACAACTATCAAAAACTTTCACTCAAAGAAAATCTGAAAAACTCGAAACTTATATCTAAAATCTCCATTTGTCATACACATCTTTTAAGTCAGGGTTGGCCCATTAATTTTGGACGTCTTGGGCAAAAATGAAAAATGTGGCTTTTTTTGTTTAACACTTACCTCATATTGAACAAAAATTATAATAAAAATATTCAAACTTAGGTGGTAAATAGGTTAGTTTAAGTTTTTATTTTTATTTTTAAAGGGCCCGCTGTATGAAAGATAAAGAAAAAAAAAGTAAAAAAAGGTCTAAATAAAACCCAAAAGGCATTAGTTTCACACATAAAGTTAAACTATTATTTTTGGGGTTTTTTAGTGTGTAAGGGAAAGGATACAATACAAAGCCAAAAGAGAAAGAAAGGGCTCTCTCTCTCTCTCTCTCTCTCTCTCTGATGGAAAGTTGGGGCTTTGAGTTTTTCAGTTGGCCGGCTGAGTACTGGGTACTTTCCTTCCTTTGGGTAGGTGAAATCAGGGAAATGTGAATGGTGGATTGGTTCTTCTTTTTCATCATCAACACCACCACCTAAACAGATTTTCCACAAGAAAATTTTCCATTCCCTTTTTTCTTTATGTGGAAAGCATTATGTGTAATGTACATGGGTTTTTCTTTGGGTCCAGTCCTTGCTATGATAAAAAGGGTTTCTTCATTTTAATTTACCTCAGAGGACATATCAGCAACAAGAGGAGAAACAGCAGCTGCACCGCCCAACCTGCTCATGCTCAGAACCTACATGTTGTGTAAACATAACAAATTCACACCCATATCAGGTTTCTTTTGTGTTGCTTTTCGTAGGCAAATTATTCAATGGCAACCAATACATCTTTGGGGAATTCCATATGCTTTTCATTATCTAACACTACTTTCTCATCAGTTTATTCCCCGACGCTCTAGTTTATTTGATATTAGTCCCTAGATACAAAAACAATTGCACTTCTGACTAATCATTCTAACTTCGTCAATCTAATTCGGATATTACAGGTAACTCTTGGTGGGGGCGTTTTGCAGGTATTGTAACCCTGTCTCTTGTTGAAGCAGTCGATGAGAAAGGATTAGGGGGCATTTTTACATTGTCTTCTCCTTCCAACATTTGAACTACAGCTTTCATGGAAGGACGATCTACCGGGTACCACTGGATGCACCATAGCCCCACAATTGCGAGTTTCTTTGCGATTTTAGCATCAGTCTCTTGCTCAACGTGGATGCGGATGTCTTCTCCTTGATCTAGAAGATTATAGATCCATTCAGGGAAATAAACCTGGCTGCTGTTCGCCTCTGTGACCTGAACATTTTTCCTGCCTCCAACCATTTCAAGTAACAACATTCCAAAACTGTACACATCTGACTTGTAGGACACGTTACCGAAGTTCCTAGAGAAGACTTCAGGTGCGATGTAACCCATGGTGCCCCTAGCAGTTGTCAAGGAAACTGCACTTTGATCGTTGGCGCACAACTTGGAAAGACCAAAATCAGAGATTTTTGGATTGAAGTTTTCATCCAAAAGAACATTGTGAGGTTTGATATCAAAATGAAGGATTCGTTGGTCACATCCGTTGTGAAGGTACTCAATTCCTTTGGCTACGCTGAGAGCAATATATTGCAGCTTCTCCCAACCAAGGAAATGGTTGTTGCTGTCTGCTGATGTTATAAAATTCTGCAGTGAACCGTTTGGTGCAAATTCATAAACCAAAGCTCGTCTAAATCCATCAGCACAATAGCCAACCAATCGAACCACGTTGACGTAGTGGATTCGACCCAATGTTCCCACTTCATTGATAAACTCTTCCCCATTTCCTTTGGAATTGTTGAGGATCTTTACAGCAACAAAGATCTCATTGGAAAGCTTTCCTTTGTACACTGTTCCAAAGGTCCCCTGTCCCAGCTTGTCTCTAAACGTATTGGTGATCCTCTTTATATCAGCATAAGAGTACCTTGTGGGCTTGAGAGCTCTGTAATTTTCCAAAAATTCTTCAATCATGGTTTGTTTTCTGTCAAAAGTGTACAACCGATGGAGAGAAACAAGTGCCACCACAAATAAAAATGAACCCAGGATCACACCTACAGATTGTATATTCCGTCAAGAACCTCTATCTTTATAGAGAAAAAGAGATTTTGGAAAAAAAAGAAAAAAGAAAAAAAAGAAAACAGAGGACAAAGGGCATGCATGGCTTACCTATAACCACTAGCTTTGTTGAGGCACGGGCACCTGTAAAAGATTTAATGCCATTAGATTCTCATGTCCCCAAAATCGTTCAATCATTATTGTATTTTATTTTGCAGAAAAATCATATTCTTGGTTATCTTTATGTTATATGATGCATTACAGTCTATATGCCAGAAATTTCCTTCTTCTTTCTTTATTTTTTTGCATTTCCTATCTAATTCATGGTAGCTAATGCAACATAAGATATTTAATTGCATAAATTCTTGATGGGGAGCAAAGGGGTGATGCCTGACTAGTATAGTGATATGGATGAAAGACTATACCTTGTTTGCCCACTTTGAAGCACTCCGTTTCTGATTCAGTGTCATTGTTGTTCTTCAATTTACATTTTCCACCTTTCCTCTCACAATGTTTACATTCTGGTTTGAACCATTCCAAACGAAGAACATTTTCTGACTCGAATATATCAAGTGGAACAGGTGGAAGGTTATACAGTTTGGTACAAGACGAAATGGGAACTTCGTCGATGGAAAAATCTGAATATATAGCCAACATTTGGTGGCTAGTCCCACTAAGGCAGGGAATTTGATAATATAAATTTCTATCTGCTGGTGAACAATTGAATAAAGTATAATCTTGGTACCCACCCCCTTTGAATTGGAAGGCAGAGGCAGACAGATTAAGTTTATGAAACTGCCTGGGAACACAACCATCTGGATCAACCACTTGAATTACCTGAGATTTGTAGTTGATATGAGTGACGGTGAACTTCACTGAAATTGGCAGCTCAAGCACCGTATTGTTGCTTCCATTGCAGGATAAATCAAATCCATGGTAGCCACAGTAATCAGGATGCTTGTCTTTGAGTCGAAAAGGGAATTTGATAGGTGGACCGGAGTCTCCACAGCGTAATTCTGAGCACTCATTTTGGCACGCTCCAATATTAACTTTGAAGCCTACCATGAACAACAGGATGAAGAAAGAAATTTTCATCTCTGAGGAAATACTCAACTTTTCTCTGCACCTTGAACATCTAATCATACTCCCAATCAGTTTTTTTTTATACATCTTTTTGAAAGCCGCAGAATTGGTATAAACCTTATGAGCACACCACAACCCAACAATCAACAAGCACTCTATTTGTTTCTCATCAAAATCCCCACACAATTTTGGGTCAGCTGCTTCAATGACTTTCCCTTGTCCATAAAGCTCCCAAACCCACTCTACCATGTTGATTTTACTTGTTCCCAACTTGGGATCAATGGGTTTTCTCCCACAAGCTATCTCCAAAGCAACAACTCCAAAACTGTAAACATCTGTTTCCTTGCTAGCCTTTCCTGTGGTGACACATTCAGGAGCCATGTAGCCCATGGTTCCAGCCAGAATAGTGGTTTGTGATTGTTTCCCGTGGTCAACAAGTTGAGCCAACCCGAAATCTCCCAGTTTGGCGTTGAAATTTGAATCCAACATGATGTTGCTGGATTTGATATCTCTGTGCAACACACATTGTTCCCATTCTTCGTGTAGATAGAACAATCCGGACGCCTAGCCTTGAGCAATTCTGTACCTTGCCTCCCAAGCTAACAAGTTTTTTCCTTTGAACAAATTATATATATACTAAAGCTCAATCCAACTAAACACTGTTCCTAAGCACAGTATAATGACGGAAATGCCCCTCATTTTGCTATTGTTTTTGTTTTGTTCTCTTCATAACAGTAAATTGACGAAACTGCCCTCAACTGAACATCTTCTTCTGTTCCCTTTTTGCCCCTTTCCCTCCGCT